CGCGCTCAACTTTCTCTTCTACCTCGCCCTGGTGGCGGCGGCCGCCTTCTCGGGCTGGTGCGTCCACCACGTCCTGGAGGAGGTCCAGCAGGTCCGGCGCGGCCACCAGGACTTCTCCCGGCAGAGGGAGGAGCTGGGCCAGGGCTTGCAGGGCGTTGAGCAGAAGGTGGGTACCCCGGACCCCGCTTCCCGCAGCGCCTGCATCCCCCGGCCCGCGGCTGGGCCGTTAGCCCTAACTGCCCAGGCCCGGTGGCCGGAGCTGGTCACCCCTCTGGTCCCGACACCCGCCCTCCGACGGTCCTAGATGGTCCTAGATGCGAGGGCAGTCCCCAGACCCTCTTTGTTAATGGCCGCGGAGGAATCGGCCCCAAGGGATGGACGGTAGGAGGATGGCCTGGCTGGCGGAGAGGGTGGGCCACGGGCCTGTCACAGGACATTAGCGGTGACCTGTAAGGTGTAAGGAAGCCGCAGGCTCCGGGGAGCCCATTCTTTTGGATTAGGAACCACTGAATGGACAGAGTTTCCCCGAAAAGGAGGTTGGAAGGGAAGCCAGTGCATCCCTGGAAGCCTCGCTGCACCTCAGCCCAGCCCATGGGAGACGGCTGAGCCAGTTCTGAATAGACCTGGGGGTGGACGGAAGAAAAGCCAGCATTCTAATTCATTTGCGAAGTTCCAATGAAATGGTGCCTCTCCTTAGGCCTCTTGTCCTTTATTGGACCGGGGTGCTCTTGTGGGCCTTGGAATAGCTGTTCTTGAGCGGTAGAGGACCGGCAAGGCCAAAAATACTAAGACATACTGGTGAGTAATACTTGTAGGCACATTTGTTTGGTGTATAGAGAGCTTACTCACATATCGTCTAATCTTTATGGCGATCCTGGGAGGAAAGGTGGGAGGAATGATGGTTTTGACTCCATCTCCCAGAACAGAAAGTTGAGGTGGACTGAATTGACAGATACCCCCTGCTGGTGAGTGACTGACTGCATGAGAACGCCTAGGCTGCAGCCCAGTTAAGGGCCCACAGGGACCTGTTTCAAGTCTGGATAGACCCAGCTCTCAAGGCAGAGTTGCTGGGCTCCTGCCTTTTCTTTTTTTTGGTTGTGTGTGTGTGCATGCGTGTGTGTGTGTTTTTCCCCAGATCATGTGTGAGCTCCATCAGTCTCATCTTCCACTAGTGTCATTGCTCAATGAAAGTTGGTTGCAAGACCAAAACAAAAAATCCCGCCACTTCTGAGCCTGGAGCTGCTGCCTCGTCTTCCCAGCATGCTGCCTGTCCTGCCAAGTGTCTCTCTACTTTTGTTGAGTATGGAGGGCTAGGAATTTCCTCCTAAGACTGGCAAAGCCACCGGATGAGTCAGCCTGCTAACTGCTGTGGGCCCAGGGAGGTGACGTTTCTAAGGGAATTAAGTAGGCCGTGCTCCCTTGCCTATCTTGAATGTCAAATCATTCTTAAAAATTACGTACTGCTGGAGCATAATCACTAGCCTCTCTGTTTCCTCTCTTTCATCCACCTACTTTCTAATCAATCATAATATTTAGCGAAGTCTGATAGTCATCTGGTTCTGCGTAGGCCCCTTGGAAGGTTCGAAGGAGCAAAAGACGTGAATCATATTTGGGAAGCAGCACGTAGGTAGGTGTCAGTTAAGGCAACTCCTGGGCGAGTTCAAGTTCAGAAGAGGGAGGGTGTGGAATTTCCCAAGGCCAGGTGATGGACGGATGTTGAGAGGAGGAATGTGACACCATAAGCAGGGGGACTATCTCCAGCATGTTTGAGGGACAGGAGGCGCTTCCCTGCCTGGGGCCGAATAGTTTAGGAGTGAAGTTGGATGGTGAGGCCAGAATGGGGGAGGTCTTCAATCCAGGTTGAAGAAATAGGGCTTCTTTCTCTATGCTTCCTCTTCATCTCTCTCGTCCCTCCTGGTTCTCGTCCCTTCTCCATCACAGCTGTGTACAGGTCACTTCCCTCTGGGGACTTCATTTTCCCCTCCATGCAATGACAGGAGGGCTCCATCAAGATTTTTAAGAACCCTAGTAACTCTAAAACTGTTGAAGTAGCGACCACGTTTCAACGTACAAGTTGAAGGTATTATTTCATGCCTCAAATTTATAGCACACATTATTAAGGTACTGTGCTAAGCACTTGAAAATGCATCATTTCTTTTGACTCTTAAAACTCCAAGTGAGGGACTGAGTAACTGTATGGTTAAACAGCCAGTAAATGACAGGGGCTAGGCTAGGCTTCAATCTTAACTCCTGGAGCACTTTAAACCACTCTGGCTTTTTTTTTTTTTTTTTTAATTTTGTCTTGGGGGCCTGTGTACTTGCCAGGGAGAGAGAGACAGAGACAGTGAGAAGGAAAGTGAGAAATCACCACCCACCCAGGGGCGATGGCCACATTGCAATCCCTTCTCCTCCATTTCCCTGCCTGAATCTTGGGCATGCTCACACTTGGGCCCGGCATGATTTTCAAGCCACCTGGTCCAGGATGCCAACCACGGTCGGCCACGTGGGAGTCCAGCGATGTGACTGCTGCGCCATCTGCTGGTCCACTACTCCATTTTATTTCATTATCTTTCCTATCATGCTCAGTGTGTGTTTCATTGACTTGGAGCTCAGAACTTGCCTAGAATGGTGTTAGGATTTGCCATAGTGTGTGGTTAGTTCTCTCTGCATCTTTGGGGTGAATTTGTAAGTTACTGGGTGGTTGGAAAAGTCATGATGTATGTTTTCTATGTTTTTCCTTTGCAAAAATGAGTCACGACTTTTCCAACAACCCAGTATTTTTCATTGAGGAGCCACTTGTGACTGGTTCTCTGACTGCCTGAGTTTGAACCCCTTTATGACTATGAGACTTGGTGGGGTTGGAGTTTGGTTCTCAGGGACATGTGCTTATAGTATTATCATCCATAATTAGTATTCACTATAGGCAAAGCAATCTATTAAGTGCTTGATAGCTACCATTTCAGTTCTCCCAGCCACTCTCCAAGGCAGGTACCACCTGGCACCATTCTATAGATGGGGCCACTGAGCCAGGACTGGTTGTTACTCGCTCAAGGTTGCGCACAGACTGTCAGTAGTAGGGCTGACTGGGGTTGGAGCTGGGTGCCCACTTGGTTACTCTTATTCTCCAGGTGCTCTCGGTATTAGAAAATGACTCCGATTTCACAGAGGCCCTAGCACAGGTGGAGCGGCTGGTCTGTCCTTAGCCAGATTCATCAGGTACAAGTGGGGTCAGAGCTTCAGAAGGTGTTGGCAGTTCAGCTCTGGGGCCTCTGAAGCCTTGTTGCCTGGTCAGCCCGGGTGGCATAAAGCCATCGTTGGAGTAGCATTAGGCACGTAGGGACTTACGGAAAGAAGGAGCTGTGTGTGGAGGAGTGAGTTCTCGAGTCATATTTCTTTGTTTCTCTGTCTTGAGTGTCTGGATGCGATTCAGGGCTACAGGTGTTAATAACCTCCCTCCCAGGCACCCTGCGCTTTGAACATGTCTCTACCTGAGCGTATCACATGGTGGCAAATAGATCAGGTTCTGAAATCAATTGTTCTGAGATTTTAATGCTTAACTCTGCCACTTACTAGTGTCTTCATTTGTGACATGAAGATCTTTGGGAACCACCAGCTTCTGAGATTATTTGGATGCGTTGAGACAATGCCTCTGAAGTACTTTGCGTATTTCTGGTACGCAGAAGGGTCCTGTTGAGTGTCAGCCTCCACTAACACCCCCTACCTACTCCTCTAGCCTGTGAGCTTCAGAGCAGGGATCCCGTCCTAGCCGTTATTTTATTGCTAGCATTTTGTCCAGCAGCCCACATTTGTTGGGGACGCAGGTACTTTTACATGTTGTTTATACTGAGTTCTTTGCACGTAAAGATGAACAGTTCTTTTTATAGTGTTGGGGTTGGTTTGGTTTCCTTCATGATTTCTGACCTGTCCTTGTCCTAACCATTTATAAAGAGCCAGCCCAGGCTAGGGCTAATATAAGGAATTAGAGGGGAAGTGGACCAGCTCAGTCATCATCAGGTTTGCTCATTCGTTCTTTGATTCTGTCAGAAAACACCAGGTGGCTGCCGGCCATCTTGCAGGTCCTGTGCTCGCTCACTCACCTCTGTTCTGAGTGCTGTGCTTAGAACAGGAGGCGTCTATGACTCAATAATCCGGTTTCTGAGATGAGCTTTTCTCAGTCGCTTCTCCGAGCGTCCTCTATGACTCGGGTTGTACTTGGTTGGGCAGGAAAATTGTCTAGTATCCTGGAGAACCTTACTCTAATCTGTTTGAAAATCAGAGTGATGGAGCTTCCGAGGACGTCAGAGACCTGTTGTTAATAGATGAGGCATCTGGGACTTGGAAGCAAATGTGACTTCTTTGTGCTCACAGGGCTGGTTCTTGGGGTGGGAACTGGAGTTCAGGCCTCCTCCTCACATTGTGTGTTTTCGGTTTATCCCCCTGCCCCTTGGGCTGAGGTGCTGCTAGAATCTCCCACCTCCTCACGTACTTGAGAGTAAAGATTGAGCAATAACAGAGGTGGCAAGGAGTGTCCGGTGTGTGGGCCCAGCTTAGGCACTCGACGCACATTAACTCACCTAATCCTCACAAGGAGTGTCCGGTGTGTGGGCCCAGCTTAGGCACTCGACGCACATTAACTCACCTAATCCTCACAAGGAGTGTCCGGTGTGTGGGCCCAGCTTAGGCACTCGACGCACATTAACTCACCTAATCCTCACAAGGAGTGTCCGGTGTGTGGGCCCAGCTTAGGCACTCGACGCACATTAACTCACCTAATCCTCACAAGGAGTGTCCGGTGTGTGGGCCCAGCTTAGGCACTCGACGCACATTAACTCACCTAATCCTCACAAGGAGTGTCCGGTGTGTGGGCCCAGCTTAGGCACTCGACGCACATTAACTCACCTAATCCTCACAAGGAGTGTCCGGTGTGTGGGCCCAGCTTAGGCACTCGACGCACATTAACTCACCTAATCCTCACAAGGAGTGTCCGGTGTGTGGGCCCAGCTTAGGCACTCGACGCACATTAACTCACCTAATCCTCACAAGGAGTGTCCGGTGTGTGGGCCCAGCTTAGGCACTCGACGCACATTAACTCACCTAATCCTCACAAGGAGTGTCCGGTGTGTGGGCCCAGCTTAGGCACTCGACGCACATTAACTCACCTAATCCTCACAAGGAGTGTCCGGTGTGTGGGCCCAGCTTAGGCACTCGACGCACATTAACTCACCTAATCCTCACAAGGAGTGTCCGGTGTGTGGGCCCAGCTTAGGCACTCGACGCACATTAACTCACCTAATCCTCACAAGGAGTGTCCGGTGTGTGGGCCCAGCTTAGGCACTCGACGCACATTAACTCACCTAATCCTCACAAGGAGTGTCCGGTGTGTGGGCCCAGCTTAGGCACTCGACGCACATTAACTCACCTAATCCTCACAAGGAGTGTCCGGTGTGTGGGCCCAGCTTAGGCACTCGACGCACATTAACTCACCTAATCCTCACAAGGAGTGTCCGGTGTGTGGGCCCAGCTTAGGCACTCGACGCACATTAACTCACCTAATCCTCACAAGGAGTGTCCGGTGTGTGGGCCCAGCTTAGGCACTCGACGCACATTAACTCACCTAATCCTCACAAGGAGTGTCCGGTGTGTGGGCCCAGCTTAGGCACTCGACGCACATTAACTCACCTAATCCTCACAAGGAGTGTCCGGTGTGTGGGCCCAGCTTAGGCACTCGACGCACATTAACTCACCTAATCCTCACAAGGAGTGTCCGGTGTGTGGGCCCAGCTTAGGCACTCGACGCACATTAACTCACCTAATCCTCACAAGGAGTGTCCGGTGTGTGGGCCCAGCTTAGGCACTCGACGCACATTAACTCACCTAATCCTCACAAGGAGTGTCCGGTGTGTGGGCCCAGCTTAGGCACTCGACGCACATTAACTCACCTAATCCTCACAAGGAGTGTCCGGTGTGTGGGCCCAGCTTAGGCACTCGACGCACATTAACTCACCTAATCCTCACAAGGACAATTCAGTAGTCAGGTCTGGCTTTTGTTTCCATCCTGCGACTGGGAACACTAAGGCACAGATAGGCTAAATTATTTACCCAAGATCACACACTGGGAAGTGTCAAAGCTGAGATTCGAACCTAGGTCGCCTGGCTCCAGAGCCTGTACTGTATTGCTTTTTAACTTCTTGTCATGACACTGCTCATGAACAACAGAAGGGAACAATGGCGTGGACCCATGTCAGTAGTTATCAGTGCTTTGCCATTGTCCCATGTTTTATCACCACCCCTCCCCTTTCCCCACTGGCCTTAGAGCAGCTGCCTCTAAACCACTTCCCCTGCTGCCCTGTAGGGGGCAGCCCGCACTCTTATTCTCCAGGTGCTCCCGGTATTAGAAAATGGCTCACATCTTCAGAATGGCCATAGCACAGGCAGAGGGGCTGGCCTGTCCTTACCCAGGAGATTCATGAGGACAGGTGGGGCCAGGGCTCCAGAAAGAGCTGGCAGTTCAGATTTGGGCCCTCTGAAGAGCCCGTGTTGCCCTGGCAGGCCCAGGGAATCGTGAACTCTGAAGTAATTTTAAACGGATGGGTTCATGGATTTTTGTCTTTCCTTTTTCTTGTTTCTTTTTTCTTTTCTTTTCTTTTTTTTTTAGGAGAGATTTTTGCTATAGGACACATGCGCTTGCTAAAGAGACAGAGAGAGAAAGCCAGAAAGTGAGAAGTCATACCCCAGGGAGGATGGCTACGCTGTAGTCCGTTTTCCTTCATTCTCCTCTCAGGATCTTGGGCATGGATACACACACCTGGCATGAGTTTTAAGTCGAACTGCCGTCAACTTAAAATGTGGGAGTTTAGCAACGTAGCCATTATGCCACCTACTGGTCCCTTTTCCTATTTCTTTTAACAAAAGACAGAATATCACACCTAGTAAAATTAACAGTAATTTGTGACTGTCATCTAATACAGCCTTAGTCCATAATCAGCTTTCTCTGATCCTCCTTCAAAATGTCTTTCTAATGATTGGTTTGAATCAGGATCCGTGTAAGAGCCACATGTATTTGATTGAAAAAAATCTCTTAAGTTTTGTTTAATCTGTAATAGTTTCATGCCTCTTCCCCTTTTAAAAATACTGCTTAGTTGTTGAAGAGCCTGGTCATTTGTCCTGTAATGTTTTCCACAGTGTAGATTTATCTGGTTCATCCTTGTGGCCCTTATGTGTTTTTTTGTGAACTGGTGGCTAGACCTAGGGACTTGGAGCAAGTTCCTTTTTGGTTTGTTTCTCATTTCTTTTTTCTTTTTTGCTAGAAAGTATTCTAGGTGTGCCATGAGTCACATCAGGACTGAGACTCTGAATGTTAAACCAGGCCCCCTGGGTAGTTTCTGGGTCAATCCTTACTTAGGGTAGGGTTTGTTTAGAATGACTCCATAGTGGCAGACAAGATCGTAACTGTGTCCCCAAAGCCAGAGGATGGGAGGATGCTAAGCAGTCCCCTGGTGCCCTGCCCACATTTTGCAGACAAGGACACTGAGGTTTGGGCAGGAATTCACTTGTTGAGGGCCACACTGAAAGGAGTGGCCAGCTGAGACCCAGACCTTGTTCCTGGACTCCTGACCCAGTGTCTCCATGTGCTTCAGCAGTTTTTATATTTGTTTGTTTTGTTTTTAAATGCCAGGGGGCACCTGTGTTTGCAAGAGAGAGACTGAGAACACAAGTGTGACCATGTATACCCCCCAATGGGGCATGGCCACACTGTATTTCTTTCTGTTTCAGTTCCCTGTTCCTTCAGGATCAAGGCACACAGGTGCCTGGTGTGGTTTTCAAGCCGGCAGGGCTGGGACTTGAACCCCGGTTGGCCGTGTGGGATCTAGCTTCTTCAGTGCAGAGCATAACTGCTGTGCTATAAATCATCCCTTCTTCAGTTTTTTTTTTTTTTTTTCAGTGAAAACCCGTGAGACTCTTTCAATTGCAAGAGGTAAAAATCCAGCCCAAAATGACTTAGAGAGAGAGGGAGAGAGAGAACTGTTTGCCTCCAACTGAAGGATAGATTTCTTCAGGTATAGATGTTTCTGGGGATTCAAATTATGACTTCAGAACTTGACCTTGTCATCTCAGTTCTCTCCCTCTGTGCTGGTGGGATTCTTAGATGGGCATTCCTCATCCTGTAGGTAGCAATCCCAGTGCAAAAGAGGTTTTTGGTAGGCTTAACAGAAGTCCTGGGAGCACCTTGTTGGCCTGCCTTTGGTCACATGTCCATCCCTGGTCTAATCACAGTGGCCCTGGGTGAGGAGGTGCATAGATGAGATACTTGGAGAGGGCCCTCAGAGACTGGTCCCCCAAACCACGTGGACCATGTGTGGAAGGGTGGTTCTCCAAAGGAAAGCTGCCAGAAGAGAAGGGACCTACAAGCCAAGCAGACAAACCCCTGTGCGGTGGGAACATTCCTTAGTTGTTCTTAGCAGTTAATGTCTGGACTTTGGTTACAGGTACAGTCTCTGCAAACCACATTTGGGACTTTCGAGTCTATCTTGAGAAGCTCCCAACATAAACAAGACCTTACAGAGAAAGCTGTGAAGCAGGGGGAGGGTGAGATCAACCGAATCAGCGAAGTTCTGCAAAAGCTCCAGAACGAGATTCTCAAAGACCTCTCAGATGGGATCCATGTGGTGAAGGATGCCCGTGAGCGAGACTTCACGTCCCTGGAGAACACGGTGGAGGAGAGACTGACGGAGCTCACCAAGTCCATCAATGACAACATCGCCATCTTCACCGAAGTCCAGAAGAGGAGCCAGAAGGAGATAAACGATGTGAAGGCCAAGGTGGCCTCTCTGGAGGGATCCGAGGGGCACAAGCAGGATTTGAAAGCCATGAAGGAAGCTGTGAAGGAAATACAGGCCTCCACAAAGTCCAGAGAGAAGGACGTGGAGGCCCTGCGCAGCTCCCTGCAGAGCATGGAGTCTGACGTCTATACGCAGGTCAGGGAGCTGGTGAGCCTCAAGCAGGAGCAGCAGGCATCCAAGGAGGCAGCCGCCTCAGAGCAGCTGGCCCTGCAAACCCTCACGGAGAAGCTTCTCCGGGCCGAGGAGGCCGTTTCCCGCCTGCCCGAGGAGATCAGGAGACTGGAGGAAGAGTTCCGCCAACTGAAGTCTGCGTCCCACGGACCAGAGGAAGACAGAGTCTTCCAGAACTCTGACGCCTTGGAAATGCTCCAGCAAAAGAGTCAAAGATGGGACTCTAGGCTCCAGAGCCTCGAGGATGGAATCTATTCTGTGCAGGCAGCTTCCATGCGCCAGACTGAGAGCCTGGAATCCCTCCTGTCCAAGAGCCAGGAGTATGAGCAGCGCCTGGCTGCCCTGCAGGGCCGCCTGGAAAGCCTGGGGTCCTCCTCGGAGGCAGACAAGGATGGCCTGGCTGACACGGTGAGGAGCCTGGGGGAGGCCCAGCTCGCACTCTACAGTGACGTGGAGGAGCTGAAGAGGAGCCTGGGCGAGCTCCCCAGCACTGTGGAGGCTCTGCAGAAGGTGCAGGAGCAGGTACACACGCTTCTCAGCCAGGACCAGGCCCAGGCTGCCCGCCCTCCCCAGGACTTCCTGGACAGACTTTCTTCTCTAGACAACCTGAAATCCTCAGTGAGCCAAGTGGAGTCGGACTTGAAGATGCTCAGGACTGCTGTGGACAGTTTGGTTGCGTACTCGGTCAAAATAGAAACCAACGAGAACAACCTGGAATCAGCCAAGGGTTTGCTAGATGACTTGAGAAATGATCTGGATAGGTTGTTCGTGAAAGTGGAAAAGATTCACGAAAAAGTCTAAATGCATCGTATGTGCAGGGCATGGATTTAAAGTCCAATTTCTCATGACCAAAAAAGGTGTTTTCTCTCACGTGTCCCCACCTCCAATTTCTTGTTCCCTCTTAAAGAGCAGCAGATGCCACCTGAACACCAAGGCGTTGCATTTTCGTGCCCAGTTAATTTATTTACAGTTGGTACACACCGTGGGTTTCTTACGTTCTCTGTGGGTTTCTTACGTTCTCTGCTTCTGCTTTTGGTTGGTTTCCTGAAGGCCCAGCCCCTGTGAATAGGAGGTGGCTTTAGAAGGGATGTCTCTAGTGTCAGAGAAAAACAATAATGGCTTCAGCTGAGGATTAACAGAAGCAGATTAACTTTAACCTCAAAAACCCTGCCTAGTCGGCAGATTTTAAGTAAAAAAAAAAGGGGGGGGGGGGATGAGGG